TATATATATGTATATATATATATATATATATATATATATATATATATATGTATATATATGTGTATATATATATGTATATATATATATATATATATATATATATATATATATATATATATATAACATTCTAAAGTAATCTATAAGTAATATAAATATTATACAAATAATATATGGACATATAATATAAACAGTATAAATGGGTAATATAACTAAATTTCTAAAACATTAACTACAAAACAATCCACTGCTTGAATCATAAGTTATATTGTATTCAAATGCTGCTTTTCTCATAATGGTGCTGTTTATTTTAGTGAACCTCAAGGAATGTGCTACATTGAGACTTCAAATCTGGACGGAGAAACCAATCTCAAGATCAGACAGGTGAGTTTTTTTTTTAATACGTAAATTTATTGATAGTGTTGATATTGATACTGGATATATATTGATAGTATAGCTGCAATCTTTGGTACTAAAGTGTAAATCTGCTGTTTGTTATCACACACAGGGTCTGACGATCACCACAGACATTAAGGACATTGACGGTCTAATGCGTCTCTCTGGGCGGATGGAGTGTGAGAGTCCGAACAGACACCTGTATGAGTTTGTGGGTAATATTCGCCTGGATGGACACGGGTGAGAGAAATGGCTGGAGGTGGAACAAATGAAAGCGATGTTAAGGCTAAAATCTCAGTCTTGAACTTTATTATCCAAAATATTGATGAGCTCGAGATGAGTTACTGAAATGATCTTCCTGAAACATCAAGGCAGGTTTAATAGAGTATTGATGTTTGGAAAGCAGAGCTGTATTTTATGCAGGGCTTTGGTGCAGTTATTTCTATCAATTTTTGTTATCCTTCTATTATGTTTGATTATATTTTTGGCTAGGATTCCGTATTGAATTACAGTATTTTCCTGATATTAAGTCACACTATGATAAGATTAAGGTATTAATAAAATTACCATGTTGACTTTACCGCTCACCGAAGTTATTATACACAGTTGAAGGCAAAATTTTCAATATCAAGTGTTGTTAACAAAGAGATTTTTAAGATTTGTTTTTATTAAATTACTAGTATCTTATTTCTTTTGCCTTTGCCATGATCACAGTACGTAATATTTTACTATGTTTACTATGCTTAAAATGCAATTTAAAGGCTTAACTAGGTTAACTAGGCAAGTCATCAGACAACAGAGGTTTGTTCTGAACATATAAAAACTGTATATATATATATATATATATATATATATATAAATATAAAGGCGGCATGGTGGCTCAGAGGTTAGCACTGTCACTGGTTCGAGTCCTGGCTGGACCAGTTGACATTTCTGTGTGGAGTTTGCATGTTCTCCCTGTGTTGGCATGGGTTCCCCCACATACCCAAGACATGCGGTAAAGGTGAATTGGATGCAACTGGATTGATTGAACTAAATTGGCCATAGTGTATGAGTGTGTATGGATGTTTCCCGGTACTGTGTTGCTGCTAGAAAGTCATTCGCTGTGTAAAACATATGCTGGAGTAATTGATAGTTCTTTCTACTTTGACGACCTCTAAAAATGGAGACTAAGCCGAAGGAGAATAAATGTATATTTATATATTTTTTTGCTGTTGTTGTTGCCAAGAAAGTGTTTCTCATTTAGTTTTACTTCAGACTAAAATAATTCATATTAAAATATTTAAAACAAAAATGATTTAGAGTAAAAAGAATTAAAAATTAATGCAACATTAATGCAAAATTAAAATTAATGCAACAAAATGAATACCACATCAGTTAAAATTAAAATAAAAACAAAATCTTTTTAAATAACTTCAAAAGGTGAAGTTTATATAAATAAATACTGGCATTCAGTGTGTAAACAACATTTATTATCAACATCAGGCCTAAACAAATGTATTTAAAAAAAACTCAAACAACAGGAATGTGTTATACAGTGGTCCCTCGTTAATTGTGGGAGTTACGTTCTAAAAATAACCAGTGAAATAGGTGACTAATCCGCAAAGTAGTCAGCTTTATTTTTTACATTTATTATAGATGTTAGGCTGTAAAACTCCTCACTACACTCTTTTATACACTTTTCTAAGACAGGCATTAACATTTTCACATTTTCTCTCTTGTTCAAACACTCTCAAAGTTCAAACTTTCATAGAAAAATAAGTCTAATATTATAGAATGTAAACCTAAAACCTTTTGTCAGGCGCAAACATTCATCGCTGTCAGCAAAAAGTTCATAAAGCTGTCTAGCTTTTGCGCGGATAATGTTGGCATCCAACGTAATGTTCTTTCTTCTGCAGTCACTGATCCACAAAGTTAAAGCAGACTTCATACTCAAGGGGGTCGCAAACCGAATGCACAGCACACATTAGAGTTGGAAGTAACACAAACCTGTTATTTAAAATTAAGCTATTCATATGATGCTCGGTGGCGCGACAGAAATATAAACGGTGTCCTGAGTGATAGCTGGGCATCACAGACAGCTTCTGACTTGACGCTGATATGAACCTATGTTTACAATTCTAAACTGTATGGTGCTGTGTGGCTCGGCACATCCAACGCAATCTCACAGCAGTTCAAAACCTTTCATTTAGTGGCTAATATATACGATCTAACTTGTACAATTTAGTACAATTTAGACCAGTGACGGTCGGGGTAAGGGGTGGGGTTGGGTGCCATGCCTCCTTTTTAAAATCGTACATTTTCGTACAACTGAACTCATACAAATTCATACAAATTAGCCAATAAACTGACAACGTAAAAAAAAGAGCAGGCTAGCACATCCAGTGAATGACCCTCTTTGTTATGGTCTTGCTGCGGACAGTTATGATCCTTTTTGCATCCTTGTTGAAACTCACACTGCTATTGATAGAAGCAGTGTACAGTGTAGATAGCATTCTGTACTGTACAAGAGACACGGATGAGATTGGATGACAATGGACTACAGCCAATCAGGACTCGGAACACAATGCGCTGTTAAAAAAAACAGCATGTCAAATTTCACAAAAATAACCTGTGAAAATGCGAAAGGTGAACCGCGTTATAGCAAGGGACCACTGTATACTGTAAATACTGTGCTTGCGTGTCCTTTTGTGTCTTTGTCCATGTTTTGCTTGCTTGACATTCATTATACAACTTCTGTAAATTGCAACGGATCGCAAGAATGGTTGTATTTTCTTTATCTTTAGCACCGTACCACTGGGTCCGGATCAGATCCTGCTGCGAGGAGCTCAACTCAGGAACACACAGTGGGTGCACGGCATTGTGGTTTATACAGGACACGATACCAAACTCATGCAGGTCAGTTTTTCCACTACAGTCAGCTAAATCACATCCTAAATCCACCTTTTTTTTGGAAATACTCTAATTTTTACGAGTCACCTAGAGTTAAACAGTCGAGTTTTACCAGTTTTGAATGCATTCAGCTGATAATTGGGTTTGGCTGGAGCACATTTAGCTTAGCTTACCATAAACCATTGAATCAGATTAGACCATTAGCATCTCACTGACCAACAGACCAAAGAGTTTTGATGATTTTCCTATTAAAAAGCTTGGCTTTTCTGTAGATATTACATTGTGTATTTAAACAAATGTAAAATTAAAAGTACATATTTGATATGATACTCTCATTCCAGTGTAATAATCAAGGAACTTCAACAGTGCCTGAATATAGTCCCAGCACTATGTAATGTCATTGCTCCTGCTGTAGCCATGCTACAGCAGCAAAGTTGCTTGATTATTACACCAGAATGAGAGTGTAGTTCCTATTCATATCAGCCTAGAAAACAACTTAGTACAGTATATAACTACAGAAGGCTCAAGCTTTAAATTAGCTATTTTTTATATACAGCTGACGTCAGAATTATTAACCGCCCTGTTTATTTTTTCCCCTTTTTCTGTTTTACAAAGAGCAGATTTTTTCAGCACATTTCTGAACATAATAGTTTTAATAACTCATCTCTAATAACTGATTTATTTTATCTTTGCCATGATGATTGTAAATAATATTTGACTTGATATTTTCAAGACACCTCTATACAGCTTAAAATGACATTTAAAGGCTTAACTAGGATAATTAGGTTAACTAGACAGGTTAGAGTAATTAGGCAAGTTATTGTAGATTGTTTGTTTTGTAGACTATCCGCTTGTTAAGTGTGACGTCACGCGAAGCGGCTTCCGGGTCCAAGCGCTCTATTCAACTGAATGGGGAGACTCATGAAATGGTAATAATAAACGTTTACAAAGCGATTTAATACTTTCGAAAATCACGGTTGCAGTATATATGTCCATGCCTAATATCTGATGGCCAAAAAGTGATTGATTTTTTTATAAATTGTTAAATTTTTGGCATTTGTTATGCAGCAAGCCCAGAGATTGTTGTGTACACTATGATTTTACATAAAATTAACTTTAATGTGTGATAGGAATAAAACGTGATCATAAACGAATGATTTCTCCACTCAAATGAGTGGCGGCTTGGACCCGGAAACAGTATTACATACATCACCACTTAACAAGTGAATAGAAAGACAATATAGTTTAAAGGGGCTGATAATATTGACCTTAAAATGGTGTTTAAAAATTAAAAACGGATTTTATTCTAGCTGAAATAAAACAAATTAACCTTTCTCCAGAAGATACTGTGAAAATTTCCTTGCTCTGTTTAATTTGGGAAATATTGGAAAAAGAAAAAAAAATCAAAGAGGGGCTAATAATTCTGACTTCAACTGTATATATATTTTTTGAGTGAGATGCTAATAGTCTTATCTGATTCAATTATTTATGTAAAGCTAAGCTAAAAGTGCTCCATTAGTTCTGGAGATCAGCTAATTGAATTTAAATATGGTAAAACTCAAATGTTTAACTTTTAGGTGAGTAGTAAAATGAGCCTATGTGCAAATAAAATGGAGCGTTCGTTTAATTTTATGAACACAGTCATGTTTTGTGTGCTCCAGAACTCCACACGGCCTCCTCTGAAGCTTTCTAATGTGGAGCGCATCACCAATTTCCAAATCCTCGTTCTTTTCGGCTGTCTCTTGGCCATTTCGCTGGTTTGCTCCATCGGCCAAACCATCTGGAAGTACCAGTTCGGCAATGACGCCTGGTACATGGATCTCAACTGTAAGAGCCAGACCTCTCCTCCTCCTGTCATGCTAGACCGCTTGCGCGTCTATGTGTGCTTTCATTTTATTTTATTGTCAGTAATTTTCGTCCTCCCTCTGTGTAAACAAATATGCATTGCATATGTGAATATTTGTCAATAAAAAGGGAAAGGAGAACCTTTCTCTTTTAGTTCTAATATGCATAGACACAAGGGGTTAAACGGATCGCGGTTGGTCTGTGATCCATTCGGATTGCGACCCACGGATCGGAACGTTCATTATTTACACATTTTGAACACAAGTTTAACGATCACTGTGAAAGTTGGTTTTGCTGCTGTTTCTTTTTTTAAAATAGGCTTGCAGATTTTTATGTACTCTAACTATTTACTTTCCCTCCACTTGTTCAAAACGAGTTTTTTGAGTTTCTGGTAAACACAATAGGAATGGTTGAAAGTTTCTGATGGTATGATAACCTTGGATAAAAATATCACAGTTTCACAGTGTCATGGCATTTTCATTACTGCTGTAAAAAAAGTTATTTTAAAATGTCTGGGTTAAAAATATAAATAAAAAATTCTCCATTGAACACTTATTATATTTTAGAGTAGCAAACATGTCAGGCTAAATAATTTAAGTAAATATTTCTGCTCTCTTTGTTAGTTTTAAAACCACTGATTTATTTACATCACATAAAAAAAAACATCTTTTAAAAACCCTTACAAATACCATAGGAACGGTGACACAGAAAATCGTAGCAGTTTTAAGACCTTGTCTTTTCTAAACCGTAGTAAACCTTGAAACCGTTTATTGTCTCATGCCTAGAACATAAAACAAGATATGTTGAAGAATGTTGGAAAAAGGTTAGTCTTTTTTTCTACTATAGATGCCAGTGGTTACTGGTTTCCAGTAAAAGTTCTGGAAATTTTGTGTTCAACACAAAAGAAACTCAAATGCTGGAGGTACATTTTCAGTTTTTGGTGAACTCTTTCTGTAATCTGATGTTTTATTGTAAAAGGGTACACACACTGTATTATAAATTACTGCATGAAATCTTAAATTCAGTTCTCTTTAGTGACAATGTCTTAGAACATTCTTTATTATTTTTTAAATTCAGTTGTTAATAGGGTTGGGCGATGTCGACTAATTTGGCATCATACGATGTCTAATGTTAAACATCGCGATGGACTATGGCATCGTCGTCATATGTGGCGGTAAATTAGTTATTTATGAATAATTCATTAATTAATAATGAATTAATTATTTGTAGCCTACTGTTTCAATTACCTGACCCGCATGGTTTTTGTTTTACCCATAACCAAATCATAAATAAACAAAAATAAGTTACACACAAACTACCACCTGTCAATCACTTTTTCTGTAGGCATGAATAAGCAGAGTGATCTATGTTGTTATAATGGTGTCCACAAATTGATTGGTAAAAAGGTGCACAACTGACAAGTACAAGCGTACAAAAATCCTGTACAAGTGTGAAATCGAAAGATTGAAGCAGTGCAATGACGCTGTGACACGTCACCCGATAGCTTCAAAAGACAGAAGAGTTGTTAGGTAGAGACAAGATTAATTAAATATCACATTTGACAACTATAGTGAAATGCGATCCAGCGGTACATCCTTGATAAACTGCCTGACGTGTACTGCCCTCTGGAGTTTTGTGCTCCAAGCACCCAATGACTGCTGGAGCTCAGATGAGCACATACGCTGCTGCATGCATGACAGTGTGTTTGTGTGGTTGCGTGAGGTATAGTGTTGAAGGAGATCTTATTAGAAATGCTAGATGAAACGCCAGTGTGGACGTGTATCGTTTTTTTCTAAAATGCCATTTTAAAACTAAAACGTATTAGTGTAAACAGGGCCTGAACGTGTTTTTCGCGAGCGGGTTGCTGCTGTGACAGGGGCGGGGTAAAGGATTGCGATGCCGGCCCGGCATCGTGATGTCTATCGGCCATCGGCGATGGACAATGGCATTGTCTATCTACCCAACCCTATTTAGGTTAATCAGAGTATTTTAACAAAATAAAATCAATCAATAATTTATTTACTAATGATTTTTTTTACTTAAATGCTTTTGTATAATATTTATATTTGTATTTAAAATTGTAATTAGTAAATTTTTATTGTATTTGTTTGACTACTTTCAATAACAAAGATAAAGAAAATGTTGTGGTCATTGGTATATTTATGATTAAAAATTGAGTTTTTTTTTTTACATTTATATTTATAGACTTTAATGTTTCTTAAAAGTGTAGGTTCCATAGTTTTTCATGATAAAACCAGCTTTCTTGTAATAATTTGGAAAGCATTTTATTTTATCTTATTTTGCTTTATCGTGTTTGACTTTATATTTTATTTAATTTTACTTTTAATATTAAATTATTTAATTTATATTTATTTTATTTGTATTATTATATTTTGAATAAAATTAAATGTATTTAGTACTTTTAAAAATATATATATTATTATAATATGAGATAGTAGTTAGATGTGAATTAAAGATGGTCAAAGACAGGGGGTGGGGAGTAGTGAGGGCTTGGGAAAGCTGAGATTTGGACTCAGGACGACCGGCCCATGAGCCCATCAGTCGGACAGGAGAGCTAATTATATTCACCCCAACACCACTTTTTTTATAATTGAAAAATCGATCCGTGGCTCCAAAAACCGAAATGTGATCCGAACCGTGAGTTTTAGGATCCGTTTAACCACCAATAGACACACAAATGTATAAATGGTTGAATATCACAAACGCTGCTGTACTTTTTGTTTTTTCGTTCGTTTTGTTCTCAGCTTCCTTTCTAACATTCTGTTTGGTTTGTGTTTTTTTGTTTCTTTGTTGTTGTCATTTTTCTTAACAGCTCCAGGTAACAACCATTTAAAACCCTTGGCCATCTGTGAATGACCCCCTCCTTACTAACCCCTAACTGAAGCTCAGCTTTTGCTAAGCTACCGAAGCCACTTATACGGTTGCCCTACTTTGCGAGGGTAATTGCAGAGGACCGCAAACACACCAGGAGTCCAATGATAGGTTTTTTCCCCTCCAGCTCTACACTCTGTAGACCCTCTTAATGCCTGATGTCAAAAAAAAAAAAAGAAACAAACAAAAAAACGTGCCTTCCCTTCCTTATTTTGGTGACACGTTAAACACTTCGGAAGCTCCAGTTTCAGCCGCACCAGCGCTCTTTAAACAAATGAAGTGCGACAGCAGAGAAACGCACACACACATGGAAAGGAGCGAGTTTATCCACAGGCCCTGTCAGAGGAAGAGTTTGAAACTGAAGACCCTGTAGGTCAAACCGTGACATTTTCTAAATGCCTCCCATTTTTTTTCTGTTGCCCACCTCTTTGTTCTGCCGTGTTTTTTTTATTTCAGACCAGGCAGAAAGCTGTAGAGCAGGGGTGCCCAAACTGTTTTGTATAAAGTGCCAAAAAGCAAATATCATTGAGAATCTTGGGCCGAAGGTAAATATACCAAGCTATTTTACATTATGGGTAATTTCCTAATTTATTTTCATAAAATTAAAAAAAATAATATTATTAATTAATACAGTATAAAATTTTAAATTGTAACCTTTTGCAATAAAAAATGCCTTAAAGGTGCTGTAAGTTTTTGACTCTTCTAAAGCATTAAAATACCATAATATGTCTGCAGACTTTTAAGAAACATGCTAAGTGAACATTTTTGTTTATCTGAAAAACAATGCTGAAGTCAGATATTCTACATTGAATATGTGCGTTACGTGTCCGAACGGCTGTCTTTGTTTTGGTTATTTTAACCCGCCCATTGCCACTTTAGCCAATTATATTTTAGCCCACGGTTGCCTTTTTGAAAAAAAAAAAAAACAGCATATTTCATTCATTCAGTCATGAAGGCTCTCAAAGCATGCATAAATACGAAATACGACCTCCGGTGGACAGTAGCAGACTCCGAAATGAGACGCAGATTCAGAGTTCCACATGGGGTTATTAATTAGTAAATTATATATATATCACAAATGTAAACATTAGGTGAGCAGGTTACATTGTAACCCCGTGTCCTAACAACACGCGATGTGACTAGATCTGCAGTGATAAGCAATTTGGCTGTTTGCACCAGACAAAATATGACAGAAATTTAAATACAGCTATTCAGAAGCACAGAATATGCACTCACTCATGAAATGGTAAGGCTATAATCTAATTAATACATATTAAACCCCTTTAACTTTATTAAATTTAGATGCTGAATCACTGATATGTGTTGGTTTGCGTCACAGTACTAAAGTTCAATTTTAAACAGTATTTCATTTTCAAAATCTGAAGTGAACTATCTGCTGCTGCTTTCAGTATATGCCAATAAATGTCATGTAAAATGGTGTTCAGACTCACATTATTAGCATTTAACTCTGATTAAAGCACATGAGTTGTAGCTGAGGTGATTATTGTCATTTTTCTGTTGTTCAGCTGCTAGAAATAGAAGCCGTTTCTAAAATATAAATTCCAGTTATTGGTCAGGACAATAAACTCCTAAAATTATAAGAATGTTCCTTCTATCATGTGACATCGCCTTTATTAAGAACACAATTTAAATCAGCGTTTAGGCTCGAGAGTTCGGCACACTCAATCTGGCAACATGCACATCATGTGTTTTGATCAAGGAATGCAATACCTAGTTCAACAACTGAGTGTCAAACTTAGATACTGCACCTTTAATGTGTCCTCTATAGCCGTCGGATGACGATATGTACATTTAAGCTTAATCGGATTAATTTGCAGCATTTAATTGAAACATTTCATTTAAGTTAGCTTTTAACAATAAAACCTACAAAACATTACATTATATTTGAAATCTCCAAACCAGAGATGCCCAAACTATGACCCACTGGCCAAAGTTGGCCCATTCTACCCTTTGATTTGGCCCACCATCCCAAAGGGAGAATGTTGGGGAGGTTGTTAATATCTTTGACCGAGATCGTCATTTTGAATGAAATATAACCCTTTGCTTGATTGTTTTGTAATTTGTTTTGTTTTGTACGTGACTGATTTTTTTAAAATCATGTAAATACTGTCACTCAATGAATAAAGAGCAATGCAAAAGGCAGGTGCAGCTTAGTGTATTCCACATTGAAATCCATTGTATTAAATGTTTATGTTTTTACTTTAACCCTTGTGTACTGTTCAAATTCACAAACCTTTTGTTACGTTTGGGATGAAAACATCCACTGAATTAAACAGCTGTAAAAATGCATCAGATAAATAATTTTTTCTCCATTTTTTTTTTTTTTTTTTGCATAAATCTGTTAATCATCATCAGCCCTGATCGAAACTACTAAATGTTTTTAAATTTTTTTTAGGATTTTAACTTTTTAGTTGCCAAATTCACAAATGATGTCACTGCTTTGGTAAAAAAAACACACAAATGACATATTTCCAATATAAAAGTAATGGTAGACTAGATTATTTTAACTTTTATTTTGTGGACATGTAAATGATTAGTAACAACA